AAGAGTCACAGCACAGAGGGCTCTCCTTGCTCCTCACTGCGGCAGCTGCTTGGCACTTTCCTTAGGGCCCAGCAAAAACACTCAGGTTTCACACACAAAGGATTCATTGGTTCAAGTTCACTTTCCAAGGATGTTTCTTACAGCTTCTCCAAGAGATTAGAGCCTTAATTCTGCTGGCTGTTGTCTCCACACACTGAATCTAACTTACCCAGAACTGGGACATCTTTCCAACGAGGTGAAAAATCTAACTCCAGCCCCCTCTACACCACAATGGCTCACTGGTGACTGCCTGTCACACCTTCAAGTCTTCCATGTGCAGCTTTTTCAAGTACTCCAACATCTCCTGAGCCTCCTGGTCTCGCTGTTCAGCTCTCACAGCCCTCTCCTCTGCATTCTGCTCAATCTGCTTCACAAGCTCCTGCTTCCCTCTGTAAAGAAGAGGCAAAAAGGGTTCTCTCTCTCTCTCAGACCCACTGTTGGAGGCAGAAACGTCAGCACAGACGTCAGGTGGAGTGCCCGCTACGAGCGTCCCTTCGCAGCCCAATGCTCCCTGGTCCAGCTGCTGTGACTGTGGGAGGTGTGGCGTGAAGCTGGCAGCCAGACGTTATCGAAGTTCTTGCGCAAGGCCTGGGAAGAAGGAGGGATGCCTCTATGTGAAAGAGGGACCCTTTCACTAACCTGATCAGCTCCTGCTTCCTTTTGTTTTCCAGTTCCTCCTGCCTCTCATTGGCCTTTTGTCTTTCCACCTCCATCATCTGGGCCAGCCGTTTCTCCTCCTCCTCTAGCTCCTTTGTGATTAGCTGCTTCTCCAAGATCTGTGTGTCACGGATCATGTGGCACTTGGCATTGAGGATCAGCTGTAGAGACAACAGGCCTCTCTGGTCTCAGTAATGGCAACAGGGACAGATATACAGATGAGAAGGAAGGGGAAAAGAGAAAGAGAGAATGGCCAAGGGCAGCAACAGTCAGAGCAGGGTTTAGATCTAGTCCTAGCTGTGCCATGGAGGGGATGAAGGTCTTGGGGCAGCCCTCTTAATCTCTGCCCATTGGTTCCTCAGACGCAAAAAGACTGAGGAAGGGAGAACAGGCTTGTGGGCTATTAGTCCCACATGAAGCCCTCCTGCACACACAGCTATTTCAAACACAACCTGGTGCCAGCACAGCCCTTCTCTTTGCTGATGGGCAGGCAAAGCTTGCTGGGGGCTCTCAGCAGCCTGTTCTAGCAAACAACTCTGGCAGGCCTTAATGCTGCCAGTGCTGCACCCACTCTGGACAAACCTGGCCCCAAGCCCCATGAACCAGCAGGTATTTACATTGCCCCACTCTGCTGGAGAAAGAGCGCCTGGGTCCCTGCATGGCAGAAGGTCCTGTGATGCCGGTGACGATGGGGGAGCATGCTGGAGGGCAGCAAGCCCCTGGTCCTACCTCGCTGAACTCCTTGATCTCATCTTCCTGCTCCATGCGCATCCTGTTTGCCCGCTGCAGCAGGTGCTGGGCCCGGTCTCGTGCTTCCTCCTCCAGGTCACTCAGCTTGCTCTTCTTCTGCTGCAGGATGGCCCTTTGCTTCATGGCGTTCTTGCGCTCGCTCGCTGCTTCCTGAGGAGATAGGCAAGGCTGCGGAAAGTCGAACGCCCTCCCAGGGCAGTCCCACCCCTTGCAGCTCTGCAAGGGTGACCATATTTTGGGCTGATCCTGTCTGAGGGTGCTCTTGGGGAAACCTTGTTCACGAGGAGCACGCTCCAACAACATTGTGTTGCAGACATGGAGCCTAGGAGCACAGCAGGCTCTTCAGGCTGTGGCACAAAGACTGGGTAGCCCCTTTCCACATCTTTCTTAAGGAGATGCCTCACTCCAATGCAAGAGCATCAAGAGGCCTCACTACACCTTCCAAGGCAGCAGAAACGCAGCACAGAGGCTTTGTTATAGCCTCCAGGATCACAGCAGAGCCAGACAGCTTGGGGAGCTGGCAGACGCAACCACTGTTGGATGGTTCCTCCAGCCAATGACCAGGCAAACCCAGGGATCCTGGCACAGCACTTTCTGGGCTTGACTGGGGCTCAGAGGAAATCTGAGATTTCAAGCTGGGCAGCCTCCCCTGCATGGCTGGTTCGGATGACCTCTGGCAGGAGTCTGCCTGGCTGAGCTGTGACCAGGTCACCACAATGCATGGGGAGCCTGACCCAAAAGTTTAGCTCTACCTGGGAGCACCCACTTCCACCAGCAGCCTGAGATCTGTCTACAAGCAGCTAAAGAAGAGACTGCAAGGGAAATGCCTACTAGAATGGCGTTCTTCTCTGCTTTGAGGGCTGCAAGCTTGGCCTCACGCTCCTCCTTGGTCAGGACTCGAGATGCTTCCTTAATGCGCTGGAAATCCTCCAGGTTGATAACAAGGGATGCTACTGGGTTCTCTGCAGGGATGCTGGCGGCACGGGAAGCAGGACACAGAGAGAGACTAGTCAAAGGTACAGAGTCTCCTACACCTCCTCCATTCCCTGACCCACTGATCTCCCTGCCTGGCAGCAAGACCTGCAAATACCAGGGGTTACAGGAGTGACTGTGCAACTAGGAGTCATCTGAGAGCAATTCAGGAAGTGTCGGAGCTGCAGGCTCCCCCACTGTGAGGAATGGGACGTGATTCTCCTGGTCTGGGAGAAGGGAGAAACAGAAAGTCCAGTGAAAACCACACCATGCTGTGATGCATGGAGGACAGGATGCATGGCAGGGTAATAAGAAGCCTCCCGCGGAAACCCCACAACATTCAGCATGGGCCTAGTCAGCCCCGATAAAAGAAGCTGAAAGCATGTCAGACCTTCCCAGCTTTCATTTAGGGAAAGTATGACCATAACCCTGATCTCTTTTCCGGCTGGACACGCTGCTCATCCCTGTCTCTAAAGAGACTGTCATTAATACTGTGCACTGAGCATCTCCTGAGCTCTCCATCCACAATGAAGGAAACCACAGGCTTACCCGTATTGACCCTTTATGCCCCCTCTCAGCCCGAAGCCTCTGTTCCATCCAGATAGATTTTGGGAAGCAAACGCTGTCTTTTTGTTCTGTTTTATAACACGCATCCTAGTCAGGCTCCAAATTTGCACAGCACAGCTTAGCTTTGGCTCTACTGTCCTAGGAACCCATCCTGGCACGACAATAGGAAATGCTGCACTGACCAAACATGGAGCACCTTCTCCCCTCCCAGTGCTGGCAGGTAACCCTCCAGCAGTCACTGTGTCTTTGCAGGGCAAAGACCGAACAGCAAGCACCGAGCCACGAACTCTACACGTGACACACATTGTTGCTTAGAGGAAATCACTGAAGCTTTTGGTGCACCCATTTCCCTACTTGTAAAAACGTGGATAATAATATGGGGCTGTTTTCCAGGGGAGTTGTAGGGAGTTAATTACTCTTTATATTACTCAGATACCATGGTGATGTGTATGGTGCAGGAGGATATATTAACGAAATGCATAAAGCACTTTGAAGATGTTCAGGACTAAGAATTTAGTCATTATTATTATGCGTCACCTTTCATCCACCCATATGAATATGAAGAGATACCTGCATAATGATCATTCGAGTGACTGCATCACAGCATCGGATTCCAGGACACTTTAAAGAATGGCTAATGGTAACAACGGCAGTAATAAATGTAATGATATAGTGGCCACTACTTCAGTTGTCTCAGTGTTTGGGTGACCAACCTGAGATGTCTGGGGCCTGATTTTCAGGAATTAAATCGGCACAAACAGTTTCCATCAGCTTCAGCTGTGGCTGTGCAGCACATCTGGAAATTGGCCCTCAGCTCCATCAACATGGCCAAATAAGAATTTGAGCTTACAAAATAAGCCACCAGTCTTGAAAACCTGAACCAGTGTGTCTATCATGTCACTCTCCATAAAAATCCCAAAACAAAGCCATCCGTGGTACAGATCTCGCGTTTGTTTTACAGGGTATAAGAGCATTATGTTATAGTTCAAAACAGGAAGTGAAGGTGAACTCTGCACAGAGCTACAGCTATAAAGAAAATTTAGGGAGGTAAAAATTAGGCTAAATTGGATCTTCCCAGGATAATGGCCTTATTCTTGTGTATATGCTGCAGGCTTTTAATGAGGTGCAGTAATTAGGACCAAGGTTCTTGCAGTTCAGCCCTGCTTATAAAACAACCCTGGAGAGAAACACATAGTTTCCTGTTGCGCAGGGGCAACAGATGATACTCCAGTGCCAGTCTGCCTTTCCCACATGGGGCTTTTCAATAGCAGAGCGCTGCAGGAACTGCTTGATGGGTGAGGGAAGGCAGTTTGCCTCTTTGAGGAGCTATTTGGTCCCAAAAGAACTTTTCTGGCTGCTGAGAGTGCTTTATGCTGCTTTTCACGGGTTCTCATGATGATTCACTGCCTCTGTAAGAAGTCTAGTGCTCAGCGCTTGCCAGCTCCACTGCTGCCCAAGCCAAGGCGTATCAGATCATTGCTGTTCATTCCTCCCCTGAGATGTTCTTGCAAACAGATGTGACAAGCTTAGCACACAGAGACATTGCTATGACAGACACATGGGCCCCCAGTTCCTGAAAGCTCCTCAGGGCTGACACTCAGGCATGGACTTACATGAGGTCACGGATGAGGTCCTTGGTGACAAGGCGGACGGTTTCAGGCTTGTGCCCACAAGCGGATGATGTTTTCTGGACAGTTTGCACATCCCGAAGGATCACAATGGGGCTGCCAGACCGCGACCGCTGCAGGTTCTGCGAGGAAGAATGACATTTGCTCCCGGCCACCACCCCCCCATACCCATCTCTCTTCCCCCTAACTGCTGGGCACACAGGTACACCAGACGCATGCCTGGCTGGAGATATGAAGGGGTCACGAATTTCTGTCAGCTCAGTTTTCAGCGAGCATTCGTGATGCTTTTTGACAAACACCTTGTCGCACCGCCAAGTTCAATGAAGTCTGGGCAAAGGAGGTCGTTTTTGCCTCGACAGCATCAGCTTGTCCCCAGCTGCAGAGGCCTGGCCAGAGCACGGAGAGAATTGAAAATACAGCATTTTATCCCCGCAGCATTGGGTTTAATCTAAAAATTTGGACGCTGGTCTCTTTCTAGCCTGTTTTACCCAAATCTGAAGGAAATGGCCAGGTAACAGATACTTTTCTGAGACAATACCCAGCAAATACACAAGCATTGGCTCAGCTAACTTGAGCTGATAACAGTTGCAGTCTCCCCTCTCCTTATTTGTGGGGACTGGCACCTGTGACCT